GGTAGGATCAGGGCTGGGACTAGCACTGGCATGTGGAGTAATCCGGTTAAATCATGCTGTGCTTCTGTCTTCCCCTCTTGTCTCTGGAAAACCATCTAAATTTGCTTTATAAACACTTATAAACCATTCTGTATAAGTGCGTGGCTAAGAAGATCATTGTTCCATTAAGTTTTTTCTTAGAGACAGGGTTTCACTCTGTTGCCCAGGCTGGAGTGCAGTCGTGCGATCTTGGCTCACTGCAGCCTCCTTGGCTGAAGCCATCCTCCCACCTCAGCTTCCCGGATAGCTGGGACAACGTGTTTGTGCCACAACGCTTGGCTATTTTTGTAAATATGGGGTCTCCCTGGCTGGAAACAGTGGCTCAAGCCTGTAATCCCAGCACTTTGGGAGGCCAAGATGGGTGGATCACGAGGTCAAGAGATCGAGACCATCCTGGTCAACATGGTGAAACCCCGTCTCTACTAAAAATACAAAAAACATTAGCTGGGCATGGTGGCGCGTGCCTGTAGTCCCAGCTACTCAGGAGGTTGAGGCAGGAGAATTGCCTGAACCTAGGAGGCGGAGGTTGCGGTGAGCCGAGATCGCACCATTGCACTCCAGCCTGGGTAGCAAGAGTGAAACTCCATCTCAAAAAAAAAAGAAAAAAAGGAAGATGGGGTCTCCCCATGTTGCCCAGGCTGATCTGGAACTCATGGGCTCAAGCAGTCCTCCCATTTTAGCCTTCCAAAGTGCTGAGATTACAGGTGTGAGCCACCGTGCCCAACCCATTGTTCCATTTTGAAAGAACATTAATAAAAATGATGGCTGGGCACAATGGGTCACACCTGTAATCCCAGCACTTTGGGAGGCTGAGGCAGGAGGATCACTTGGGCCCTGGAGTTCAAGACCAGCCTGGGCAACATGATGAAACCCCATCTCTACAGAATACCAAAAACAAAAATAAAAAATTAGCTGGGCATGGTGGCTCATGCCTGTATCCCGGTTGCTTGGGAGGCTGAAATAGGAGGGTCACTTGAACCCAGGAAGGTCAAAGCTTCAGTGAGCTGAGATTATGCCACTGCACTGCAGCCTGGGTGACAGAGTGAGACCCTGCCTCAAAGAAAAAAAAACAGATAATATAGATATTTGCCACTATTCTATACTTAGTGTTTATTCTGTGCCAGCCAGATCCTGGGCATTTTACCTGGAATACCTTAACTAGTTTCTAAACTCCAGAAATGTTAGTGTTCTCAGGCTTTTAGAAGAGAGCCACAGTGTAACACGAGGTGCTTGGTAAATGCATGGTAATGTGGTCTGCTGCTTTCACTCAGCCCTGGTGACCGACTTCCTCACCTGCGTGGAGTCTGCCCATTTTAACGCACTTGCAACATACATTCCTGAACAGTAGGTGGCGCCATAAAACCACCTACAGTTCCCACAGCACACCTTCATTTTTGGCAGCCCCAACTTTTAATGTATGAGGGGAGTCTCTGGGTTGATAAAAAGACTGTAAGACTTTTTTTTTTTTGAGACTGAGTTTCACTCTTGTTGCCCAGGCTGGAGCGCAATGGCGTGATCTCGGCTCACAGCAACCTCTGCCTCTAGGGTTCAAGTGATTCTCCTGCCTCAGCTTGCCGAGTAGCTGGGATAGCAGACATGGGCCACCACGCTCGGCTAATTTAGTATTTTTAGTAGAGACGACGGGGTTTCGCCATGGTGGCCAGGCTGGTCTCCATCTCTTGACCTCTTGATCCACCTGCCTCGGCCTCCCAAAGTACTGGAATCACAGGCATGAGCCACCACACCTTGCTGACTGTGAGATTTTTAAAGCATATCCATTGACATGATAACGAGGAGATATAAGCAGGAAAGGAGGCAAAAGGATCCAATATGCCAGTGGTCAGGAAACTGGCAAGTCCTTGGCATGACCCTGGCTGGGGCCTGCGTGGGCCAGGCTAAGGGGGCTGTGGACTGAAGAGAGGCAGGTGTTAAACGTGCAGACAATGCCCTGGTGGGAGCTGGAGGCTAAAGAAAAAGGCAGCTTCCAACATGCTGGAGTTTTCTCCAGGAGCAAGCTGTGTCTTGAGAGAATTGCTTACAGTTACTATAACCAAATTGACAAATGTCAACTTGACTAATAAACCGTACTTGGTAGAATAAAGAGGACATTTCTGAGTACACAATCCTTTTTCTTCTACAATTCCAGTCTCCTCTCCATGGTGCCTTCACTGAGGCAATCTGTGCTTTCCCTGAGCTCTGTGTCACCTCTCCTGCTAGCAGTCCTTAGCCATGAGCAGTGTGAAGCTGTCCAGGGTTAACCAGTGAGCTCAACTCAAAACAGGGGAATGGCAGAGTGTTGTCACCATGAGTGGGGAGAACCATGTAATTCAAGAATGTAAAAGGGCACATAGTTCAAAGCCTCTCAATCTATAAAGGAGGCATGTGGCAAATCATTGGCAGAAATAGGGTCAGAACTCAGGGATTTTGCCTTAGTTGAACCATTATTTCTGCACTTACAATGCTGGTCTCAGGAAGCGAACTGATGCCAGTTCACTTCTATTATCTATCAAACTGATCAAAAAGAGCCTTTTGCAGGCCTATTTTTAGACTTGTAAATGACACTTGCTGAAATCTTCCATGTCATTGACCACCAATATGTCCCTGATCACTAGTGTACAAAACTATGTCATAAAGAATCTATTTGGGCCAGGCACCATGGCTTATGCCTGTAATCCCAACACTCTGGAAGGCCAAGGGGAGAGGATTGCTTGAGCCCACAAGTTCAAGACCAACCTGGGGAACATGGTGAAACGCTGTCTCTACCAAAAATTAAAAAATTAGTTGGGGATGGTGGCGCATGCCTCCAGTCTCAGCTACTCAGGAGACTGAGGTGGGAGGATGGTTTGAGCCCAGGGGGCAGAGGTTGCAGTGAGCTGAGATCACACTACTGCACGCCAGCCTGGGAAACAGAGCCAGACCCTGTCTCAAAAATCAGAAAAACTGGCTAGCCATGCACCTTAGCCAAAGAGAATAACATGAAAAAGGAAACAATTCATGTTGTGCATGGGAAGACTAAACAAATTAAAAGGAAAAATCAAGCTATAAGAATTAAACTCTGACACCAGCTCTTGTCCTAATTTTTAGGATCTTCCTGCTTCTTTCCATGTTATTTATCACTGTGACACTGATAAAAGCCAGAAAGCCTAGGAAAGCTTTGTGAACACACACACACATTTTTTTTTTTTTTTTTTTTTGAGACAGAGTTGCACTGTCACTCAGGCTGGAGTGCAGTGGCACAATCTTGGCTCACTGCAACTTCCCAGTTCAAGTGATTCTCCTGCCTCAGCCTCCCAAGTAACTGAGATTATAGGCACCTGCCACCATACTCGACTAATTTTTGTATTTCTAGTAGAGACAGAGTTTATCACGTTGGCCAGACTGTTCTGGAACTCCTAACCTCAAATTATCCTCCCACCTTGGCCTCCCAAAGTGCTGGGCATGAGCCACCATACCTGGCATTTTTTTTCAACTTCTGAATATAAGGGAGCTTTAAAATGTGAAGGCCAGGCACAGTGGCTCATGCCTCTAATTCTAGTACTTTGTAAGGCTGAGGTGGGAGGATCACTTCAGCCCAGGAGTTCAGGCCTGGAAAATAAAGTAAAACCCTGTCTGTCTCTACTTTAAAAAAAAAAAAAAAAAATTAGCCGGGCATGGTGGCAGTCTGTAGCTCCAGCTACTCAGGAGACTAAGGTGGGAGGATCACTTGAGCTCGGGAAGTTGAGGCTGTGGTGAGCCAAGATCATACTATTGCACTCCAGCCTCGGCAACGGAGTGAGACCCTGTCTCAAAAAGAAAAAAAAAAAAGAAAGTAAAAGGGCTGGGCACCGTGGCTCACGCCTGTAATCCCAGCACTTTGGGAGGCCGAGGTAGGCTGCAAGGTCAGGAGATCGAGACCATCCTGGCCAACATGGTGAAACCCTGTCTCTACTAAAAATACAAAAATTAGCTGGGTGTGGTGGCATGTGCCTGTAGTCCCAGCCACTCAGGAGGCTGAGGCAGGGAATCGCTTAAACCCAGGAGGTGGAGGTTGCAGTGAGCCACGACTGCCCCACTCCACTCCAGCCTGGCGACAGACCTAGACTACTTCTAAATAAATAAATAGGCCAGGCTTGGTGGATCACACCTGTAATCCCAAGTTTTGGAAGCTGACGCAAGACCAGGAGCCTGGCCAACAAGGTGAAACCCTTTCTCTACGTAAAATACAAAAATTAGCTGGGTGTGGTAGAACATGTCTGTACTCCCAGCTGCTTGGGAGGCTGAGGCAGAAGAATCACTCGAACCCAGGAGGTGGAGTTTGCAGTAAACCGAGATCACACCACTGCACTCTAGCCTGGGTGACAGAGCAAGACTCCATCTCAAAAAAGAAAAAAAAAAAGTTTAACAGAGGCAAGCGATGGGGTCTATTTCACAATTAGATAGTTCATTTGTCTTGCTGCTGAACCAGTAAGGAATGCCGACAAGAACAAATTTGGGAGGCTGACCTGGGCAGGCATCCAAAGAATATAAACTCTACCCTCTGTGGCCCCTGCTAAGCCCAGCTCTTGGTCCCATCCTGTGTCCAGAAGCCCCTGGCTGTCATGTGTATAATGTGTCTAGGTAGCCTTTGGAACAAAGCCTCAGTCTGCAGATTTCTGCTCTATACCAGGACAAAAGTTTGTATTAGTTATCACCTGGCTTCAAAGAACTGGTGTACTCACTGTGTTACCAAAACATTTTATTTTTTGGCAATTCTCCTGCCTCAGCCTCCTGAGTACTTGGAGCTCTAGGTGTGAGCTACCACACACGGCTGATTTTTGTATTCTTAGTCTGGGTTTTGCCATGTTGGCCAGGCTGGTCTCCTGGCCTCAGGTGATCTGCCTGCCTCGGCCTCCAAAGTGCTGGGATTACAGGCATGAGCCACTGCACCTGGCCCAAAACAATTATTGTGATTACAGAACATGACAGTACAAACTCCCTGAGGGATATAAATTAACTTTTACTTCTATAACATATAAAAGGTATAAATAGGACTTATGTAAAACCAATCACCTGCACACAAAAAATTATGTGTTAGTTTATATATCTCTTGAAACCAGAGGGAGGAGGAAGCAGGATGAGGTCCAGCTGGCCCACCCTAAGTCCTTCCCCAGATGCTGTTGTGTAGGGATAGCTTCTGTGGTGAACCAGGGTGGCCTGCCAGGCAGTGCCTCAGGATGGGGCAGTGGGTGGTGGTGGTGACGAGGTGAGGCTACTGGGCACGGCTGTGAGGGAGGCACTTGGTGGCAAACAGGCCTGAGATGTAAACAGTCTCATCCTCATCCAGCAGGTGGGACTTGTCGGCGGGGACGAGCCAAGGGTCTTGCAGCTCCCAGTTGGCTCCTTCACACGCTTATCTGATGTGGTGCAGGAACAACAGGCAGGGGCGAGAGGTCAGTCCACAGAAGGGAAGTCTCAGGGAGCAGCTGCCAGGAGTGTCTTGCCCAACCATGGCACACAGTTCTGTGCACAAGGGATGCAGCTGAATGGTGCTGATGGCGAAGCTCAGAGAGCTTCTGCATTCTCAAGATTCGGATACATTCTGGGAAGGGTGAACTGGTATAAGAGTCACGTAATACGTGCAGGGGTATAATAATCCAAAAAACTTAGCAAAACACCTTCTGTGCCTATGAGCCTGGCTTGTGGGAGCCAAGGAGAAAGTCCAAAGCTCCGCCACGTGGGCCAGCAACGCTCATGTCTGCTGGCTGAGCCTCCCCAAAGCCTCTCCTGCCACCTTTTTTTAAAAAAAACTAAATTAAACGGTCAATACTGCCATCTCTCTTGATAATGACAATGAAAAAGTGTTTGCACAGGATGTCTACAGGTGGGTGTGTACCTACACACTAATGGGTCTGAAGTGATACAGCTTCGGGAGGCACTCCTGGGTTGAAAATGAAGGCAATTATGAAATTACTGTCAGTCTTGACTAAGTCACCTCTAGAGTTTATGCTTTCAGCCTTAAATGAAATGAAGACTTCTATAAAATTCTCACATAATTGATCAAAATGTGATCACAGCCACTGTGACTAAGATTGGTGCCGGCCAATCAGCTGTGAGGGAATGAAGAGAGGAGAGGAACTGCGATGTCAGTCCCTGACTCTACGGCGAGTTTCCAAGCACAGGAAATCCCACTCTCACTTCAGGAGACCCCAATGTGACAAGAACCTCCCTGTGCTTTAAATCATCTCTCACCCATGCTAAGCTGTGATCCCTCACCAAGTCTATGAAACCTGGAAGAGGAGTGAGAGAGCGTGTGTGGGTTTTATATATTCAGGGATCATTCCAAAAGGGGCAAACTATTATTGCTCTTCATGTCCTGGGGCAAGGGAAGGGAAGGGAAGGGGAGGCCACTTCTGCTCCTGAAAGCCCTGTGGGGAGAAAGCCCAGCTCCCAGCTTGATTGTTCTCTCATTCACATGCCAGCTTACTGTCAAAGCTAGAAAGCCCAATGGCAAAGGCCTGTACTGCGCAAAGTGGGTAGTTGTAGTCCAATGTGAATACATCATCTGCCACACGTCCGAACTGCATAACTATATAGTCAGCTAGAAAAAGAAAGAAATCAGGATGTTAGAAAATAATGTGGTTGCACTAGGGGAAAACTTTTTTTTCTTCCATTTCTTAGGGTTTTGCTCTGTTGCCCAGGCTGGATGGAGCACAGTGGCATGACCACGGCTCACTGCAGCCTTGACCTCCCATCCCGGGCTCAAGTGATCCTCCCACCTCAGCCTCCTGAGTAGCTGGGACTATAGGCAAGCACCACCATGCCTAATTTTTTATTTTTTATAAAGATAGGGTTTCACTGTGTTGCTCAAGCTGGTCTCAAACACCTAGGCTCAAGTGATTCTCCAGCCTCGACCTCCCAAAGTGCCGGGATTACTGGTGTAATGAAAACCTATTTATGAAACAAAGAATCCAAATAGGCCAGTTAATCACCAGGTTTCTTTAGAATAGAGAGCAGCTTGCTGGGAACAGCACAAGCTCTGTAGGCTAGAGCTGCCAGGAACCTTTATTGGGGTCATTTGCCTTTGTTTCCCAAACAACCTACCCTATGACTTCTCTGATTTTTTTTTTTTTTCTGAGACAGGGTCTTGCTCTGTCATCCAGGCTGGAGTGCAGTGATGTGATCTCGGCTCACTGCAGCCTTGACCTCCTGGCGCAAGCGATGCTCCCACAGTAGCCGAGACTACAGGTGCCTGCCACCATACCCAGCTAATTTTTTAATATTTTTGTAGAGACAGGGGTTTCACACCACATTGCCCAGGCTGGTCTCGAACTCCTGGGCTCAAGCATCTGCCCACCTTGGCCTCCCAAAGCGCTGGGATTATAGCCATGAGCCATGGCGCCCAGCTGACTTTTCTGATTTGCTGTAGCATATCTCTCATACTCCTCTCCCCTCCTCAACACAGTGACTTAGAAGTTTTCTCTACAACTGTAGTTTCATCTTTCCAAAGAATCCTGTCTCTCCTCCATGATTATCCCCTATCACTTCCTGTCACATACAGGGAATGTATATTTCCCCATCCTGTAAGAGCGTCTATCCTCCGCTTCCTGCCCAACCCCTCCTGGAGGCTTACGGTCATTTTTGTGGACTATCTGGAAGTTCTTCACAGATGCCTGAGTGACCCGGCCACGAAAGTTGAGGACATAGGACTGAGTGTCACTGTTCCAGACGGGGGCCTTGTTGTGCAGCTCAATCAGATTTTCCATAGCTTTGTTCTGCCACCTTGATAGCAAACTGTCATGGTTCTGTCCAAAGGGAAAATCATTATTTTGTACTGGGAACTCTAAGAACTCATTCATTCTCAACTCTATGAGGTAGAAGGTAGGGCAGGAGAATACTTTCTCCATTTTAGAAAGAGTAAACCAGAAGCAAAGAATGAACGCCAAAAATAAAGACAGGTTTTTTTTATTATTCTATATTATCCAGCATTTCTCTTTGCAGACAAAATAGTTTCAAGGCAACAACTCTGCAACTGCACTTATCCTGAGGTTTTGGAGGGGCAGCTCTCCTAAAGAAGTGTATGGAGCCATGTTCCAGTGTGGGGCTCTGGAAGCTCAGGTTTTTTTTGTATTAATCTCTCTGTATTGTATTACTGTCTTTTAGGGTCCTTTGCTGATTTAAGTATGTTCTTACTCACATTTCGTGGCTGATATGGAATCTGCTTATGATTCAGTGTCATTCCAGGAATGATCACAGACATTTTCCTAGGACCTTTAAATCCAAGCACGTTCGTTTCCTGGAAGACAGGAAAATAAGGCAGAACTTGGAAACAGGAAAAAAATAGAGACCACATTCTTTTATAACATGAGACTTTCTTCAGAACATAAGATGCTAACAGCATCAGGTGTACCGGCCAGGTGTAATGGCTCACACCTGTAATCCCAGCACTTTGGGAGGCCAAAGTGGGTGGATTACCTGAGGTCAGGAGTTCAAGACCAGCCTATCCAACTTGGCAAAACCCCGTCTATACTAAAAATACAAAAATTAGCAGGCACAGGGGCAGGCACCTCTAATCCCAGCTACTCGGGAGGCTGAGGCAGGAGAATTACTTGAACCCAGGAAGCAGAGGCTGCAGTGAGCCGAGATCATGCCATTGCACTCCAACCTGGGTGACAAGAGTGAGACTTTGTCTCAAAACAAACAAGTGTACCAAAAATAATTTTATTACTTTACTGTAAACAGAGAATCAAAAACAGCCACCATGCCCGGCTAATTATTTTGTATTTTTAGTAGAGGCAGGGTTTCACCATGTTGACCAGGATGGTCTCGATCTCTTGACCTCGTGATCCACCCGCCTCGGCCTCCCAAAGTGCTGGGATTACAGGCTTGAGCCACCGCGCCCGGCCAGTGATTATTATTTTTTAAACAAGATCTCATGCTGTCACCCAGGCTAGAATGCACGATGCGATCACAGCTCACTGCAGCCTTGACCATCCCAAGACTCAGGTGATCCTCTTGCCTCAGCGCCCCTAGTAGCTGGGACTCCAGGCGCCCGCCACGATGTCTGGCTAATTTTTGTATTTTTAGTAGAGATGGGGTTTCACCATGTTCCCTAGGCTGGTCTCTACTGGGCTCAAGCAATCTGCCTGCCTTGGCCTCCCAAAGTGCTGGGATTACAGGTGGGAGACACTGCGCCCAACAAAGCCAAGCAGATTATATATGAGAGCCATAGAGGAAAGGTACTTTACATCAAAGTGTGAAGTCAAATGGTTCTCAGGCCTGTAGATAAAATCTCCTAAGAGTCAAATGATGTGATTATTTTCAATTTAAGAAAGTTGAGACTTGAATAAAAAAATCCAGCTGAGATGGGTCATTTCCTTCTTACTTTCTCTTACTCAACAACTCTTTGAATACCTACTGTGTGCCAGGCCATGTGCCAGTTGGATATAGCCGTGAGTAAAAGCTCACAAGAGTTTACAATATGGTGAAGATGGTTCATTTTCAACAAGTAATAAAAGCACATGTGGGTTACAAATGCCACAAGGACACAGACAAAGGAATGTCAACCACATCTAGTGGAGTACATCAGAAAAGACTCTGATAAGACAAAAGGCAAGAAAGGGGAAAAGGGAAGGCTCTCCAGGGAGGAAAGATGAGTGGGTGGACAAAGGAATGACAGGAGGACTGCTTGGCTAGTATGATGGGAAGGGGAGGGAGTGCCGCTAGGAGTCTGAAAGCGGAGGCTACCATGTTAGCTCTGACACAATGGGTACTCACTAAAAGATGTGAAGCAGAACAGGAGGCTCATCTGGAGCCTTGTTTTAGGAAGATTCATTTGGTAGCAGTAGAGAACGAGCTAGATAGTTCTCAGGTCTTTCCTGGGTATGAAATAAAAAAGTACAATAAAACAAATAATAACAAGATAAAATTTAAAAACAAGTGAACTATAAATGGCAAAAAGAGGGGAAAAAAAGATTAAAAAGAGAAAAAAGAATAAACTAGATAGGGACAAGATTAAAAGCAAACAATAGCAACTTTAAATTATTGTAACCTTGGCCACTGGATAAGAAGTAAAGGTCTGCATTAAGTGGCAGCAGGAAAAGAGAAGAGGAAATAAGGGAAGAAATATTCTGAGAGTAAAAAATAATTCAGCTTGACAGTTCAAATAACTAAAACTCAAATACATGGAGAAAGTGGTATAGCAACAGAAATCATAGAAATAGAAACAAGCTTGGGAGGGCAGGTTCTTTAGCTATACCAGGTGGAAAGTGCCAGCAGGACAACAGGAGGGCAGGAAGAAGGCCTTGGGAGAGCAGCACTCACATAGGAGATGGCAGCCAGCTCCTGCCGTGTGTGGGCCGTTCCTATCAGACCCCGGCCCTTGATGGGGCAGATACCACGGTCATAAACTGTAAACTTCGTCCCCATGAGGTTGGATCTGGAGTCAGGAGAAAAAGTCACCATGATGATCTGTATTTTTTCTCTTACACCAACACAGTCTAAGAGAAGGAAGGAAGAAAATGGAAGCCTATTTGCCTATTCTCCAACTATCTAAATGTTCATCATCACTTTTTTTTTTTTTTTTTTTTTTTTTTTTGAGACGTAGTTTCACTCTTGTTACCCAGGCTGGAGTGCAATGGCATGATCTCGGCTCACCGCAACCTCCGCCTCCTGGGTTCAGGC